GAACCCCTGCTATCAAATAAGGAATAGTGGAGCGATAAAGGCAATACAGATAGAAAACATAGAACATAAAGTAGCGGCCTTTGCGGACGACCTTCTGTTTTATGTAGGCAACCCCCGAATAACACTACCAAGTATAATGAAGATCTTGAAGGAATATGGTGAACTATCAAATCTAAAAATTAACCCAACAAAAACAGAGATTCTGAACATTAATATACCAAAGAGCGAAAAAGAAAAACTACAAAAAGAATTCCCCTTTATTTGGAGAGAAAAAGATATAAAATACCTAGGAATAAAACTTGCTACCTCACATAAACAACTGTATAGATTAAACTATATTTCTCTGATAAATGAGACTAAGGACGAACTAAAAAGATTAGAAGGAGGAAACCCATCATGGTTAGGACGTATAAACCTAATTAAAATGGTAATTATACCTAAAATACTCTATAGATTTCAAATGATCCCAATCAAACTCCCAGAGGCGTTTTTTAAGATAATGAGAAGAATGCTAACAAGATATATATGGAGGAATAAAAAACCAAGAATATCATATGAAACACTAAGTAGGACTAAAGAGAAAGGGGGGATGGGACTACCTGATGTTAAGAGATATTACAAAGCTGTAATTTTAGCAAGAATTTATGATTGGACTTTTAACTATAAGGGGAAAAGTTGGGTAAAAATAGAAAACGAACTGAGTGGAATTAATTTGAGTAAGATGATATGGGTTCCAGCACATTATAGAACAATTAAAGAAAGCACAAGCACTTACACTTTAAATGTGTTAAAGATATGGGATAATTTACACAAACATATGAAATGGGAATTCAATTCTATATTAATGCCTCTTGCAAACACGGAATTTTTCCCTCCAGGAAAAGAGGAGATATCAGGGAGATGGTTTAAAAAGGAAGATATCCAATTGAGAGACGTATTGATAGAGGGGAACTGAAAACATTTAAAGAACTAAAAGAGAGGGGAGGAGATATGTTTACTAAAATAGATGAGTGGAAATATCATCAATTAAAATGTTTTATTGGAACTCTCCCAAAACCCTTGAAATTAAAAAATGAGTGGAATATGTTTGAAAGGCTACTAGAAACACGGCGAGATGGGAAACACGGTGTTACAAAAATGTATAAAATACTCACAGAATTAGACACAGACACAAAGTTAATTTTTATAACAAATTGGGAAAGAGACATGGAGGTGGAGATAGATGAAGATCAACAGAATAAGATATTTAGATTAGTTCACGAGAGTGTTAGTATGAGAGACGTTGAGATCAACTATAAATGTCTGACGCGATGGCATATTACACCGAGCACTGAGCACAGGATGAGGGGGGAGAAGTCAAAAATGTGTTGGAGAGGATGTGGGGAGGAGGGCACGGTGTTTCATATTTGGTGGCAATGTCCAAAAATTCAGGATTTCTGGAAGACAATAGTCAATTTAATAGAAATAATAACTGGAAATAACATAGGATTAGACCCAAACATGTGTCTCCTACATAATGTTGAGACAGCAGTAAATAAATACAAAGAATCAGGAGTATGGTACTACTTAAGTGCTGCAAAAGGGTTGATCCCCAAGTTTTGGTGGAAGACAGAGGTGCCGACGGAGGAGGATTGGATCAATAGGGTAAACCAGATCAGTAGAATGGAAAAATCTTATTATACTCAGGAAGACAGGTTGAAATTATACTACTCGCGATGGGAAAAAATGGGAAAAATCAGGACTAAAAGAGAAATATAGAAAACTCTAAACTAGGAAAGTTATTTAAAGTTATCGGGCCTTGAGAGATTGGAGATCTTGCAGAGGGGAGGGAGGGGGGAAGGGGGGGGGAAAAGGTGGGTTGGGAGGGAAGGGAAAGAAAAGAGGTAAATAGGAAGGACAAAGTAGAAATGTATGGATTATTTATATGTATTGTGTTTCTTCTTATGGAATTTTTGTAATAACATGAAAAAAATTAATAAATATTTAAATTAAAAAAAAAAGTACTGCTGTAAAACACCCTCCAGTGAAGTCTCCGCCTGTGGGACGTAACGCGTAAGAGCGGAGCTATGGAGTAACAGCATCACGTCTTGCTGCTCAGTCAGCTTCTGCTGGCAGACTGTGGTTTCTCTTAATCCTTAATCCTGATCTGCATGTAAATGGGGATTTGCATACATCTTGATTTATGTATTTACGTGAGTAGATTTGATTATTTCTAAGTCAAAACTTACATGTGGAGTGCTGTGCCATAGAGGACTGAGTCCCCCCGAGGATTCAATGAGAAGGAGAGGTGGAGTGACATTTCAATTTCCCATTTAGGCTCTGTTTACAATAATGTGTTTTTTTTTATTGCTTTTTGCAGAAACGCACTGCAGTCCATTTAACATGGTTTCCTAGGGGACACGTTCACATCTATGCTTTTTTGGAAAGGGTCAGGGACTTTTTTAAAAGCAAAAAGCAGCATTTTTGCTACAATATAGTTCAATGGAGAATCTGAGAAATGTATAGTAATGCATTTTTGTGTTTTGCATTGTTATTCTGCCCAACAAAAGAAAAATTCCACTTTAAAAATAAAAAAAAAAAGCTGCACAAAAATGCAAAACTCTGCAAAAACGCATCAAAAATGCGTGTAGAAAAATGCAAAACAAACTGCAAACAGCACTGGAGAAAGCATCAAAATGCATATATGTGAACGAGGCCTTAAGGTGGAGACGTGGAGCGATTGACTACTGGAGTGTCTATAGTGCTTGTTTATTCATCTTATGATTTTTTGGGTCAAATCTTAAGGTGAGAAAATTCACATATGGTCACAAAGTGGTGGCGGAAGAGTTTACATTTATCGAGATTGGACCTGTCAATACGCAGTGCACTTCTCATTGAACATACAGCACTGCCCCCTTGGGGGTTGCTGTTGATTGGGGTCCCCCTTTAGTCCTGCACAGCCAGGCAATCAACAACATTCTCCACACGAGCTGGCATTCAAAGTCAGAAATCAGTCCTTGAGCTTTAGTTTTAGTCCTCATGCACACTTGACGTTTTTACAGCGGCTGTTTCTGGCTTTTGACTTTTTTTTATACATCTAGTAAACCCCCCAGCATGTTATCCTATGTGTCCATACATACATAGACTGGGATCAATGTTTTTTGGCTGGGACATTTTTTGGCTGGAAAAAAACCCAGAACTAGTGGGTTTCTAGAGGAGTTTTTTAGCTGTAAAAACGCTCTAACGCTGAAAAACGCAGCAAAACGCTGCAAACCAAAATGCTGCAAAGAGTCTAGTAAACATCCCGGGTATGTTAAAATTTGAAACACGAAATCATAAATTATAATTTAATAAATAATCATAAAAAATAATAATATAATAATAATAATAAATTTAATTCAATAATATAATCGAACCAAAAACACTGAAATTTGAAATATAGTTTCAGGCAGTTTCCAGGCAGAAAGAACAGTAAAAAATGCAGGCAGGGCACAGGACAAAGTACTCGGAACAAAATGTATGTGAAATGGTTTGATACAGGAATGTTATACTATGTGATTTTAGTGTATTTAGTGAATGTCAGTTTTTCACATCTTTAAATTTCCCACCGTTCTGTCCCCCGTACATCCCAACGTCGCAGGGGAACGGAACCCAGAAGACAGATGCCGGCATCCGTCGGATTACATTGCCTGGGACACTGCAGGAGGGACATCACGGGAGCGCAGGACAAGGTAAGTGATCGAGGGATCCTGGAGCAGCGCTGCAGGGTATTCCCGAGTGTAGCTCGGGGGTTACCACTTCTGGTACTGAAACTTTACCCCGAGCTACACTCGGGAATACCACCAGGGGGGTTAAGGGGAATCTGACCACTAAGAAATGTGATAAAACCACAATCAAAGCCTACAGCATATCACACAGATGGAATACATATAGGATAGCTGTATCACCGGCCAAAGGATTTGTTATTCTCTTCATCCAGTTCTGAGATTTGCACAGCTCTGTCTGACAGGCAGAAAGCTGATCTTCCTCTGCTGCAATTTCACTTTCACTTACAGGCCTCCTCCCTTGCCCCCCCCCCACCCTATAATTGGACATTGAAATGAGAAGCAGCACAGGAATGAGCTTATCTTTCTGTCACTCTGCTCTATCCTCCTATCAGTATGCTTCTTGCACCACAACATACCTAATTGGCTCCATTTGATCTCAAGTTAAAGTCGAATTCATGCCTGACACTATGTTTAAAAATGTTCTCTCTCCCCCCCTGCTACCTATGCTGCTGAATCTGTGTAAAAAAAGACTTGTATACTTGCCTATTTTTAGTCACGTGGTCCTGCAGCTCCGGCTTCCCCGCGTCAGTCAGCAGCAGCTGCAGGGGAGAGGAGGGAGCACCACCAATGGCTGGGAAAGACATCACAGCTCCCAGAATTCCCAGCTGCTGTCAATTCCTCCTTCCTTTCCCCTGCAGCAGCCAATCACTGACACAGGAAAGCTGGAGCTGCAAGATCACATGAGCTTACTGAAGTAGATTAAAAATACTGCAGGTAAGTACACAGACCTTCACATCAGGTTCACATCTGTGCAGCCAGGCGGGCCACGTTTTTCATGGGCATGAGAGCCCATTCATTTGAATGGACTCCCGTGCCCCGGGACATGCAGGGAAGAGGTCCCTGTACTTCTTTGGAAATCGCAGCCCACATGGGAACCAAGGTTCCCAGTACAGCTGCAATTTCTAGTGCAGGCGGCATGCCATTAGAATTAATGGCACCCGCTTGCGGATCCTGCACTCCTCTGTGTGGGTGGTGCGGCTGCAGGTGTTTGTGCGGGTCCTGCATTCCTCTGTGTGGGTGGTGCGGCTGCAGGTGTTTGTGCGGGTCCCGCATTCCTCTGTGTGGGTGGTGCGGCTGCAGGTGTTTGTGCGGGTCCCGCATTCCTCTGTGTGGGTGGTGCGGCTGCAGGTGTTTGTGCGGGTCCCGCATTCCTCTGTGTGGGTGGTGCGGCTGCAGGTATTTGTGGGGGTCCCGCATTCCTCTGTGTGGGTGGTGCGGCTGCAGGTATTTGTGGGGGTCCCGCATTCCTCTGTGTGGGTGGTGCGGCTGCAGGTATTTGTGGGGGTCCCGCATTCCTCTGTGTGGGTGGTTTGCCTGCAGGTATTTGTGGGGGTCCTGCATTCCTCTGTGTGGGTGGTGCGGCTGCAGGTATTTGTGGGGGTCCCGCATTCCTCTGTGTGGGTGGTGCGGCTGCAGGTATTTGTGGGGGTCCCGCATTCCTCTGTGTGGGTGGTGCGGCTGCAGGTATTTGTGGGGGGTCCCGCATTCCTCTGTGTGGGTGGTATGGCTGCAGGTATTTGTGGGGGTCCCGCATTCGTCTGTGTGGGTGGTGCGGCTGCAGGTATTTGTGGGGGGTCCCGCATTCCTCTGTGTGGGTGGTATGGCTGCAGGTATTTGTGGGGGTCCCGCATTCGTCTGTGTGGGTGGTGCGGCTGCAGGTATATGTGGGGGTCCCGCATTCGTCTGTGCGGGTGGTGCGGCTGCAGGTATTTGTGGGGGTCCCGCATTCCTTTGTGTGGGTGGTTTGGCTGCAGGTATTTGTGGGGGTCCCGCATTCCTCTGTGTGGGTGGTGCGGCTGCAGGTATTTGTGGGGGTCCCGCATTCCTCTGTGTGGGTGGTGCGGCTGCAGGTATTTGTGGGGGTCCCGCATTCCTCTGTGTGGGTGGTGCGGCTGCAGGTATTTGTGGGGGGTCCCGCATTCCTCTGTGTGGGTGGTGCGGCTGCAGGTATTTGTGGGGGTCCCGCATTCCTCTGTGTGGGTGGTGCGGCTGCAGGTATTTGTGGGGGTCCCGCATTCCTCTGTGTGGGTGGTGCGGCTGCAGGTATTTGTGGGGGTCCCGCATTCCTCTGTGTGGGTGGTGCGGCTGCAGGTATTTGTGGGGGTCCCCGCATTCCTCTGTGTGGGTGGTATGGCTGCAGGTATTTGTGGGGGTCCCGCATTCGTCTGTGTGGGTGGTGCGGCTGCAGGTATATGTGGGGGTCCCGCATTCGTCTGTGCGGGTGGTGCGGCTGCAGGTATTTGTGGGGGTCCCGCATTCCTCTGTGTGGGTGGTGCGGCTGCAGGTATTTGTGGGGGTCCCGCATTCCTCTGTGCGGGTGGTGCGGCTGCAGGTATTTGTGGGGGGTCCCGCATTCGTCTGTGCGGGTGGTGCGGCTGCAGGTATTTGTGGGGGTCCCGCATTCGTCTGTGCGGGTGGTGCGGCTGCAGGTATTTGTGGGGGTCCCGCATTCGTCTGTGCGGGTGGTGCGGCTGCAGGTATTTGTGCGGGTCCCACAGTGGCACCACCCGCACAGATATGAACCAAGCCTTACACAAGTTAGGCAGGATAGGTAGCAGGAGGGGGAGGGGATATTTCTAATCATGGTTAGTGTTAGGCTGAAATTCCACTTGAATTAATTAAAGTCCGTCTTTCAGATAAAAACAAACATTTAATGATGTATTAATGATCGCAGAGCTGCATTCAGTGCTGCCTTTTACAGTTGTGTCCAAAATTATTCAACCCCCAATGCTGTAAAGGGGTTTAGGGACTATAGTGTACATTTGGAATTGTATTCAGAATCAAATCCTACAAGGACGTTGTAACTACCCAAATGCAACTAAAATGACATCAATTGTTTATGTAATACAGTAGTAAATGGTTCTTATGTGGTTTCTTCATTGCCACAATTATTCAACCCCTTAAAGACTACCACTCTGAAGAACAGAGGTTCATACAGGTGCTTTCCATCAGGTATTGAAAACACCTGTGGATGTCACCGAGCAGCAAATCAAGCATAATAAGCACCAATTAGGCAGCTTTAAAATGACTGTGATACTCAGCTCCTTCTAGACATTTACTGGTGTGGTTACAAACATGGTGAAGGCAAGAGAATGGTCCAGGAAGACAAGAGAAGAGGTGATTTCTCTTCACAGGAAGGGCAATGGCTATAAGAAGATTGCAAAGATGTTAAACATACCAAGAGACACCTTAGGAAGCATCATTCGCAAATTCAAGGCAAAGGGCACTGTTGAAACGCTACCTGGTCGTGGCAGAAAGAAGATGCTGACTTCGACTGCTGTGCGCTACCTGAAGCGTAGAGTGGAGAGAAGTCCCCGTGTGACTGCTGAGGAACTGAGAAAAGATTTGTCAGATGTGGGTACAGAAGTTTCAGCCCAGACAATAAGACGCACACTGCGTAATGAAGGCCTCCGTGCCAGAACTCCCAGGCGTACCCCCTTGCTGTCTCCAAAGAATAAGAAGAGTCGACTGCAGTATGCCAAAAGCCATGTGGACAAACCACAAAAGTTGTGGGATAGTGTTCTGTGGACTGATGAAACAAAATTAGAACTGTTTGGGCCCATGGATCAACGCTATGTTTGGAGGAGGAAGAACAAGGCCTATGATGAAAAGAACACCTTGCCTACTGTGAAGCATGGTGGAGGGTCAATCATGCTTTGGGGCTGTTTTGCTTCTGCAGGTACAGGGAAGCTTCAGCGTGTGCAAGGTACCATGAATTCTCTTCAGTACCAGGAGATATTGGATGGAAACGTGATGCAGTCCGTCACACACCTGAGGCTTGGGAGACGTTGGACCTTTCAACAGGACAATGATCCCAAGCATACCTCCAAGTCCACTAGAGCATGGTTGCAGAGGAAAGGCTGGAACATTTTGGAGTGGCCATCGCAGTCACCAGACTTAAATCCGATTGAGAACCTCTGGTGGGACTTAAAGAAAGCAGTTGCAGTGCGCAAGCCTAAGAATGTGACTGAACTGGAGGCCTTTGCCCATGAAGAATGGGCGAAGATACCCGTAGATCGCTGCAAGACACTTGTGTCAAGCTATGCTTCACGTTTAAAAGCTGTTATAACTGTAAAAGGATGCTGTACTAAGTACTAAGATTGAATGTCACTTGGGGGTTGAATAAAACTGATAATGCTGTGAGCACAGAAAAGACATTTGTGGTTATTTCATTATAACTGTTATGTTATATTTGTCTGACCTACAAGTGCCTCTTTAATGTAAATGTAAGCAAGATGACTGAATGATCAAAAGCAATGTCAAACTGGCCAAAACACTCAATTTCAGTGGGGGGTGAATAATTTTGGACACAACTGTATGTCTGCAGTTCAGCTTTGTTACAGATGGGATAAACACATTTCAATGGCCTTGGCTGCCAAAAGCCTGTGATTGGTGTAGGTCTAATCTAGTGACTCCTTAACCCCTTCCAGGCAGCTCCTGCAGGTCCCGGGGTCTCCATTGCAGTTAAACAAAAAAAAGATCTATGGCCTTCAATTAAAAGAGTATGTGCTACAGGCTGCATCCCTTCCAGCCGAACTCTGGGCACATTGCATTGTTACAGTCCTCAATAGTAACAAAGGATGGAAAACCACTGTACACCCGAATGTAGAAACAGAGAAAAGTGACGGCAGAACAAGACCCAGCGCTCCATCCAGACTGCCTGTTTGTTTTAGTTTTGGGGGGGGGGGGGGGGTGTTTTGTCATTGTTTTGTTTTTACATTTTTGGGGGTTTTGTTATTTGTGTTGTTCACTTTTTTGTCTGAGTATGCCCCTTTCACACGGGCTTTCCGTTTTTTTCATCAGTTCAGTCACTTTTTTTCACAGTAAAAATGGGATTACATCCGTTTACATCTATTTTTCATCAGTTTATATCAATTTGTCATCAGTTTACATCAGTTTTTTTCATCTGTTTTACATCCATTTTACTTCTGTTTTTCAGCCATTTACATAATTTTTTTCATCAGTTTACATCTGTTTGTCATCAGTTTACATCCGTTTTACCTCTGTTTGTCATCCATTTTACATCTGTTTTTCATCTGTGTACATCCATTTACATCCATTTTGCATCTGTTTTTCATCTGTGTACATCCATTTACATCCATTTTACATCTGTTTTTCATCTGTTTTTTTTTCATCAGTTCACATCGGTTTTTTCATCAGTTTACATCCATTTGTCTTTCAGTTTACATCTGTTTTTTCATCTGTTTTACATCTGTTTTTTATCCATTTTACATTCGTTTTTCATCTGTGTACATCCATTTACGTCCATGTACATCCATTTTACATCTGTTTTTCATCCGTTTTACATCCGTTTGTCATCAGTTTACATCAGTTTTTTCAACTCTTTTGCATCCGTTTTTCATCCGTTTTATATCCGTTTGTCATCAGTTTACATCAGTTTTTTCATCAGTTTACATCCATTTTTCATCCGTTTTACATCTGTTTTTTTATCCGTTTTACATCTGTTTTTTCATCCATGTACATCCATTTACATCTGTTTTACATCCGTTTTACATCCGTTTTTCATCCATGTACATCCATTTACATCTGTTTTACATCCGTTTTACATCCGTTTTTCATCTATGTACATCCATTTACATCTGTTTTACATCCATTTTTCATCCATGTACAGCCATTTACATCCGTTTTACATCTGTTTTTCATCCATTTTACATTCGTTTTTTCATCTGTGTACATCCATTTACATCGATTTTACATCTGTTTTTTTCCTCAGTTCACATCAGTTTTTTCATCAGTTTACATCCATTTGTCATCAGTTAACATCCGTTTTTTCATCTGTTTTACATCCATTTGTTTATCAATTTTACATTCGTTTTTCATCTGTGTACATCTGTTTATGTCCATGTACATCCATTTTACATCTGTTTTACATCCGTTTGTCATCAGTTTACATCAGTTTTTTTTTTCATCTGTTTTACATCCGTTTGTCATCAGGTAACTGTCAGTTAAAGTTAAAGCGCAGTATAGCAAAAAATGGCCTGGTCAGGAAGGGGGGTAAATCCTTAGGAGGGTTAATAATGGGTGCATCTGCGCTCACAGTTCTCTTATTCCCCCTGCAAAGTCCTACAAATACCTGTTGATCCTGCAAGTCCATGTCTTGCAGCTTCCTGCGATGGTGTGGTAAACAACGCTGCACTGCTCCTGAATTCAAAGCAGAGTTGCCACTCTCATGTAGGTTGTGCCAGCCCAGCTTGTACTAGTCTGATGAGGACACACTGCAGGGGGGGTATCAGCATTGTCACTGATGATTCCCAAGTCTGTAGCTTGTCAATCAGCACCTGGCCACACCTACTTCCGCCCTCTGCTTTCTTGATTGGTAGAACTGCCCCTCTGCTACAACCCTCCCTTGTAAGCTGCAGTGTCTGGGAGGGAGAGCGTGTGAGACACAAATGAAGGAGGATTTGGCTCAGTCAAGGAAGGTAAAGGACGTCTTATATTTAGGATATGGGTCTTGTTCATCAAAAAGTAACAGGATTTGGGACAAAGAAAAGGCAACAAAGCAAAAGCTGCACTCTGATGACATCACTTCATCATAAAAAATGTTATTCAGCCAGGACAAGCACCCCGGAAGTGCCTACCCCTCTGACGCATTTCACTCTTATGGTCCTAATCGTAGAGTGCGCTGCTGGTTTTTTCGATTCAACTAATAGTGGATTAGTCTCTAGTTTTAGACTGCCATACAGGAGCCTTTAGTTGTACTTTAAAGCAGTATTAAGCCCAAAGTATTGCAGCTTACCAATCAGATGTGGTGGCTGCATTAGTGTTCTTTTTTTAGGCTTTTTTTCCCCCTGTTGCCATTAGCCCCCCTTTATACTTACCTGAGCCTGATCTCAATCCAACGATGTGTATGAGAGCAGCGGCTCTCTCTCTCCTCACTGGACAGAGAGGCAGCAACGGGAGCCATTAGCTCCTGCTGCTGTCAATCACAGCCCGTGAGCAGGGAAGCGATATTGGGAGCGAGCATACGTGAGTACCCCCATAGCAAGCGGCTTGCCATGGGAGGGCATTTGGCAGGAGGGAGGAGCCAGAAGTGTCGGCAGAGGACCTGAGAGGAGGAGGATTGGAGCTGCTGTGTGCAAAACCATTACAT